CTGTATTAAATTTTCTTTCACAACTTAGAGCAGACTTTTTTGGAGCGAGCTTATGAAGGCAGGATTACATAATCCATAAAGGCTTGCGGTGTTTGCCTTTGAAATGCATATTTTATGAGGAAAGCTGGCGCGAACAATATCTGCATGAAGTGACTCTTTATCGAGTTTCAGGTAAAATGTAGAGTCATCTCTTGATAAGTTTTCGAACATTTACTACCTAGGTATACTTTTTGTTTGAATAGGCGGTTTTACAGTAAAATTTAGACGATCTACTTAGGTTCTTATTTAAATACTAACTCTGAAGTCAAGACTCTGGAACAGCTGGCATACTCCGAGAAGTCACACATGGCTTTGTACCCCGGCCGGGCCTCGGCTGCCATCTCTACATAGAGGGCGTAGGTAGACACCAGCACGCCCATGATCCCTGCTGCTATGATAGCTCGGCTGTAACCCTTAGTCGACATCTTAAAGTATTTTCCAAATATGAGGCAACCTGAAATTAAATAATATTATTAATAAAAGCTCTGTTAACTCACATTATGCATCTTCATCATCAGAACAGAGCAGCATTTCCTACCTAGCAGGGATAGCATGTAAATAACTCGTAATATCAAAAGAATCAAACATTTAATTACACATAAATAAAAAGCACTGTTTAATCTGCAATGTAATTAAGTCAGCGGTAATTGTTTAAGAATCTACAGCGAGCAGCGATTTTAAGTTTTCATTCTACCACGTTCTTATTTAATTATTATTGAGACATTTTTCTCATGAAAGCTTCGGTCGGTTTTCCATCCTTTGTAAAATAAATTTTCTCGTTTAGTCTAGAAGTTTGTTTTTGTTCGAGTAAATACTTATATCTTCATTTGATACTTAACATTCAACTTAACACTTAATACTTAGGCAAAGCGCAATTAATACAAAGGCTTAGCAAAGCGCATCCGCATTTATGAATAATTAGATAGATTTAGATTCAACAAATAAAGTTGTGAGTCCGTAAACTCACTCAATAAAGCTCTTGCTTGTATCAGCACTTATAATATGTATTTACGACGAAGTACTCTAACTTATAACAAATCGATAACGATCGAGTAAGTAATAGAGCTTCCAAAGCAGATTTAAAAAACTGAATCCGACATGATTGCCCTCTCGAATGGAAGCTTCTCGGAAACATGCATGCAATGTGTGCTTACGAGTTATTACTTTATTTATACTGAAACGCCACTTACAGCAATAATCCTAAGCTTAGAGCGAGCTTAATATCTGTATATTGCGTCGGTTGAATGTGAAAATGGTATAAGAGAAAATCTGCCAACTACTTCATCATAATCATAACTTATCATTAATATTAAAAGTGTCTGGTCACCGATGAAGTCCGAGATATTTATAAAAAGGCTGCTATACAAGTGTAATCAGTATTAGTTAGCTTTCCCAGTTTTCCCGGTACTAAAAGTAAGTAGAGCGTCTGTGTTATTATTTTAGTTTTCTATTCCATTATTAAATATTACGTTTCCGCTATGTCAATTTGTTTTGACCAACATCCACATGTCAGTACAAAAATTAAAAAAAGTCCCTTATGAATGTTTTATCCGCGATATAATTCCAGTGCTTTTGTATTCGGAACCAATGTATGAATGTTATGATTATTGCCTTTCATACTAAAGACCATAATTATGTGATATCTACGTACTACTACTATTTTTATAAAGTTTCTATGGATGTACCTACCTATCTCTAATGCGCCACGTATTTAATAGGGGAAACCTATGAAATCTAGATCTAATGACTTGCCTACTGTTTCGACGTNCCTACATAATAGAGTTTTCCGACACTTAAGCTATGTGTGTGTACTATGAAATTGTTAAAGGTAAGTAGATTACTTAATTCGACAATGGACCACGCCTGTACAACATTGTACAGTAGGATATAACAAAGGATTTCATTTTAATTAATAACTTTACTGTAAAACACCACCTTGTAGAGATAGCAAACAAATACCAAATTACCAAACGTAAATGACTTTCAATATTAAATTATTACGAAATTGCTCATGGATATTACAACGCGATTAATTATGCATTACCTACTAATTAAAACATCGAAATGGAATTATTGTGAATATTGGAAAATTAACGCGCAGTAAACAGAATTCACACAAAGCTCGTCAATTTACATTTAAAACGTTCGGACATTCAATTTAAGTTAATAATGATTTTACAGCGCTAGCCAGATATTGTTTATTAATTTCTGTTGATACTGCTTTTACACGATCTGTCCAAATGGAATTTACTGCACAATTAATGAATTCTCTGCTTCGTGGTTTATTAAAAACAATACATCGGCAGATAGTTAAAAAACTTATTACTGGAAAGAGATGTTGACAAATGACTGTTTCATTGGTATTTATTGATTATAGATGCAGTAAATAACGATTGTTTATGAAACTTGATGCCAGCATTTTTGTTATTCAGTTCTAATCCACAAATTATAACATGTTAAATCTTATTTTCAAATCNTCCAAAGATAATATAATCCTAACACAAATCACTTCGCACGCTCTCTCTATAAATCAATTTTATTTTGAAGGGGAGCCGTACGTTCGTAGACAGCCCACAAAGAAAAAAAAGTATGTATAAAAAGTCGCTCAGCGCCTACCTACTTCGTTACCCACCCCTTCGTGTACACTCGGCATTTGCTGTTTAAAATTAAAAAGAAAACAAACAGCTAGCTCGCGGTCTCCGTTTTATTAGCACATGCCAGTAAAAATAATCGTATTAGCACTCGACGCCGTCCAAACATTGCAATGCACTAATAGGGTACTATTATACTTATGGTAGTTTTGTTTATGACCGTAACTTTAATAAAGCTTACTTTTATTAGCTTTTGACCGGCGTGGTCCCACCAATTTTGGTTTTGCTTCATAATAAAAATTCTTGAGACATTTGGGAAAAGTTTCTTGCCTATAAGCGTTAATTAAGAATTTTAATTTTATAAATAATTCAGAAATAATTATAGTCCTTAAAACTAAAACCGAAAGAAAAAAAAAAGACAAAAAGCCCTACGGCAGAATAAATTAAATTAGATTGTGCAGTAAGTTCTTTACATACGAGTAACTAGGCACTTATTAAATGGAAACGTGGTAACTGTAATCGTGCTTTTATCGGTCGGAAATTTTAATCAAGTACAAAGCTGCTTACACATACTTTATAATATTATTACACTTAAAAGTAATAAACATCTCACCTTTAACACCGTGTGGAACTTATTGATAAAATAAATGCTGAGTGATACGAGGAACGCGTCTATTGATTAATTACTTTAGCGCTGATAAGAACTTAATTACCGTAAAGGTGGTGCACACACACGTTCATTCTGGAAGATTCTGCGCTCTACTGATCTTATTTGTCCTCACGTCCTACGCAGATTTTACCGAATTATTTATTCATGATCGATAGCTAAGAGATAAGTGAGATGGTGGAAAGATGTGTTCATGAGTTCACCACATTAGTCCAAGTCACTGCACCTGTTTGTAACAATATTGTTACTAACTCTTAATTTATACCTACACTTCCTGTTCGTCATGCAACTCTTTAAAACAAATCTTCTAAATTTTAATTTTGTATCATTTGAATACATTCAGTAATGGAAGTTTAGTAATTAAATATCAGCTTTGGTTCGTTCTTTTCATTCAATTAAATGATGTCCACTGCTGGACAACACCCACCCGACCCGTCACAGAAATTAAAATTCATCATTTCAATTTTGCCCGACCGGGAATAGAATCCGGGCCCTCTTAGCATAATAGTCAGTTTCTAAATAAACCACTACAGCAAACAGTCGACTTTATTATTATTATGAACGCATGTAACTTTTATTATTCAAAATTCGTTCCGTACTTTTGCGTGATAGAATAACAAACAGTCGCACATAAATTAGCGCCAAATTAAGCGGAAATTAATTAAATCTCTCTATTATACCTACCACATGAGCTGAGCAAAGCATGATTTGGTAAAAAATTAGGTACAGCACACGAGATGTGCTGTATAAGGTAAAATTAATATGAAACTAGACTTAAGTTAATCAAACTAATTAATGCCCAATTATTCAAAACATTTCCTATGTTTAAATTATGTTACATAACATCCAGTCTAATCTGTGTCATTAAGTAAGGCACCTATGTACTACGTGGTATTTAATTATGCGTAATTAAATATTATTTATCTTCCTTGCAATGAACTTGTGTGTGTAACTTACATACACATACTTTTTAAAATATTTTTTAGAAACATTATTATGTCCATCCATTTAATAATAGCTGTGCCTACACTGGTAATTTAATTATTATATCAATCAATAATGACGATGACTGTATTGATATGATTTGATTCCGCTAGAAGTTAAATTTTTGTGACCCACTGATTCAAGAGTGAAATTACCTAAATATTAAACACATGAACGTATCTACATACTTCAACAATTAAATTTTAAAATAATTGAACGCAACTTTATACTAAATGTCAGATTCAATCCGTTCAAACTTCATTTCATAGAAATCAAAATGCTCTTTTCTGTAATTTTTGATGCACTGTGTCATTTTTCGTACTCGCAGTGTACTTTGACACCAACGAACACAGGCGCAGCTGGAAAACATACTTTAAAACGAGAACAAAGTCATCACAATACGGTGCCAACATAAGAATTTAAACTCAGCAATATTTTATCTCTAAAACAATTTTATTTTTCTTAAAATACAAGTACTTTACTTATTTTAATTAAATGCACGATATTTTAATACTTTAATGAAGTTATTTTACTTTAAATAAAAAATCTACTTACCTAAATAAAACTACGGGCAATCCTGAATTGAACGATGATAAAACGAGACGGCGTTATTTGTTAGAGCAGTAAGAGCGAGCGCCACATTGCCAATGACGCCCCATATCGCGGAATGTAGGTTTCGTTGTGTTGGTAGCACTGGTTTAGTTCACCATCGCGACCGCAACGTAGCGTTAGCGTCGTGCAACACCTTTCATTGTATTGACTATTGACTGATTCTGAACACTGAGAATAATGTATAAAGTTAATTTATCATATTATTGCCTTAGTTCTTGTTGAAATCTATCTTACTATGTTTTAGTTTAAGTGTAATCATGCCTCCGTTTACGAGAATGTGAAAGAAGACAGCCAGTCGGGTGCTACGCGGCCATTTTACTTGCAATGCGGCAACGGTGTACGATCCGCCATTGGAAACGGCCTGTGTCTTTTTCTGTGTGCAAGATTTTTATTTTGTCGAATATCGTGGCATAGAAACAACGGATAACCATGTGTGATAAAAGTGTTGTGCGGACTTTTGTGTAGTGAAGCACGGTGGTCGGGTGATTCGAATAATGTGCGAACGATGGAAAACGAAGTGAAGCAGCGCAATCAGAGAAATAGGCGAAGGGAGCGGGCACAGCGCATGCAAGCACAGCGAGAGAGCAAAGTTAAGGATGGGGACAGTGGCGAGGACGAGTCTCCGGCGAGAGAGAAGCCGCCTCGTCCTCCGGCCAGGCGGAAGAAGTCGCGGGAGCCGCTGGGAGAAGAGGATATCATTGATGGTTTCGCCATAATGGCATTTCGCACCTACGAAGATCTAGAGGTGAGCAGTAACCGTAGCACTACCAGCATGCAGTTATTTAAACGATTATTATTACATTGTAGACCGTATTACCACATCCCATAAACTATGTTGTTTACAATATCCTATTATTGTGTAGTCCCGTTGAACGGCATCAATATCAGACTCATTTAAGAAAAAACGGGAAAGATTATGTTCATTATAATTATGCACCATTCAAGCCAAGGTTATTTCGAAACGAAATCCGAAGAGTAGGTGTTATTACTTTACTGCACAGCATGTTACATAGTACCTACCTAGTACGGTAAACGTACATAACTTACTAATACCTAATTAGATTCTATGAATTATAGTGCTTTCATATATTTAATTACGCTTTGAAGTTAGTTTCTTCTTTACTTAATACCTACTCATTACAAAAACGGCGCTCTATAATCGCTTTGGACGTCGCCTCGGAAGTGCATTGACCCATCGAATGAACCCTGAGCAAATGGCTTAAAAAATCAGTGATAATAATAATGAATTATATTATTTTTCTGTGTGAAACTAATAGTATGTTATTAGTAAATTAAGCAGCACTTCCTAGTTACACGTTAGTATTATGTGCGGTAGGTATTGTTAGCGCGTATTGTATAGGTATTATGTAGTGAGCAGCTGACGACGGGCGCGCCGAGCGCGGGCCGCTCGCCGCACCGAGTGCAGTCGCGGTCTCCCACAAAGTGTAAATTTGGTCTAAGTGGCTTTCGCTCGTTTGTGCTCATTTATTGCTCCGTCCTCAAATGGCAATATGTTGTGCACGTTGAAGTCTCGTATGTGCACAATAAAACTACATTCTGCGCTATCGTTTTAAATTATGGCGACAGGCTTGCCGTTTGTGGCTCGTTGGTGCGGCGGTCGCGTATATTATAGGTCCGAACAGGTTCCTTTGCTCCTATTTAATTCACAACATGCGGTCTGCAACGCTTATGCAATTTCTATTTACTTACAATGGCTGAAAGTTAATTTCTACGCGAAACAGGTTTTTTGTAGCAATGACGACATATGGTGACTGATGAATTGAATGGCGTAAATAAACTAAAGTTACTATCATCCACAGACCACAGAGTAGCTTCACCAAAATGTGGTGGTGTGTGGGTCTACTACACACATTTTAGTTTCGTTGATTAACTGGTGATTTAAGTAACAATGCAAAATATTTATGCAGCCTAATAAATAATCACATCCACTCGACTTTGGTCCTACTTACTTACTTCAAAGTAATCTGAGAACAGAGATTAAGCTTCTAGGAGTAGCAGATAGGTGTAAAACGGTGATACGACAAGAAATATTATAGTTCTCCACTAATTAAGCCTTTATGTTTCAAAAATAATGAGGTTCGGCGTAAAAACAGGAAAAGTAGGTTGGTATGTTATTATGAAACTGTAAAATAGTTACTCTAAAAAGTATATTTATTTTATGAATAAATAAAATACGCAAGTGATTCATAAAATACAAAATACATATTTATGAAACAGTTATTTTTCGTCCATAGTTTGTTTTGTAGTATTTATTCCAATACAATAATTTTAGCTATGTAGTATAGTATTCCATACAATAATTTAGCTATGTTCCTTAAACTGTATCCTTGTTGTATGATTATTTCTTTGCCTTATAATCAGATAAATCAGTGTTAGTACACAAACACAGTGAAGCATAACGTAGCCCCGCCATTTGACACCCGCGGGGCTGTGAACACTATCGGCAGTATTTTATTTACGGTGTTTGACGTTTTTCCCACGGTGCATTCGTCCATCCGTGTCTCTTCCGCTCGGTGACCAGTGACCACTCTAAAATAATACTTTTCATAATACAATAATTTTACAGTTAAAATAATAATTATGTAATTTAATAAACGCGATAAACAGCGTTATTCTTAGCTTATCCAAAATACCGCGTTATGACGCTGTACGAAAAAAATAATAAAGTATGCTCAACTTAATTTGAAAAGTTTGACAAGGCCCCTTCTACCTGATAAGCGTCCGAAAAAGATTGGATGTGGCATTTAGAAGTTAGCGAGCGTGAAATATTGCGGACATCAGATTTTGGAGCAGTGAATCCAAAATGAATAATATTTTTACCTATCTTGTATCCTGTTATAAAGAAGTTAAGGTTAGATACAAGTCTTACTACTAAACAAATAGGATTAACTTTTATTAACACGATTTACGAAAAGAATCTTTACAAAGTAGCTAAGATAAATATTGTGTAAAATAAAACGCATCTATCCAAAACGCCGCAATATAAAATATGGAACGGCTAGCGAAACAATTTCACATAATGTAGAGACTCGAAGATCAACGATTAAGTGTGTAAATAAACCACCCTAGACACCAGACACCCCTATGACTATGGCCCATTCCGTCGGCTTCTCCCCAGAGCACGTTGTTAGCACGTCGTGACATAAATACTTACCTGACCTAACTTTAAACCACTTCGTTTCGCTTCTACTACAGTTACTTTCCGAATTTTATTACGCCACTTAGATTTTCAACGCCCAAGTAGGCGTCGAAAGTTGAAGAGTTATGAGTAATACTTTTGCGCTACATTTAGGAAGTACTCAAAGTTTGAAACTGTCAGATGTTTTACTTTATATACTCAATCAATATTATGTTTCGGTTTTCATTTTTTGCTTCTCACTTCAGGAACTAACGCAACTTGTAATCGTGGTTGGTACAGGTACAGGCACACACATGTAATTACAATGACGATAACTGCGTATGCGTAATATAAATATTTATTGAAATAACAAAGTTGCATATCTATTCTAATTTGAGGTGGATTAAGTATTTAAATTTATTTAAAAACTTTACTTTCAATAATAAAAAAAGAATTAAATTGAGATCACACGATCAGCTAATGATGCACAAAAGACGCTACATTTTCCTTATTTTCATCCATATAAATTTACTTACGTACAGACATAAAATACGATCTTATTACAAAACACGTGGAGAAAATAATGGAATATTTACATACGGGAAATCTCTCTGTCACCAGAGCTTCAACTAACACTTCTGTCTGGTGCATTTACTCAAAGAATATTGTAGAAAATTTGCTTTTGTCTTGGCGGTTACGCTCGCCTCGCCCGCCGGGGCCGCACTTTCGCCCGCAGGGTAAAGTTTTGTTTACCATATGGTTTAAAACACGTTCTTCTGGCTTTGGGTCTTTAAAAAAAACTTGCTGTCGGTAAGGATTATATTTTTAAGCTGAATATTTGCTCATCTACTTAGAGTTTCAAAAAACAAATCTCTTTCTCATTAAAAATAAATGACGAACAGGCAATTTTTATCCTCGCTAATTACCTGTACCTATTTGATTAATTAAAAGATAATGTTTGTTTGACGAACTAATGAGTGTTGTTCTTTTTCAAAGGATAGTTAAATAACCTTTTTTCACTTTAAACTTCAGAATTAATTTGCTTTTCAATCAGTTAAAAAAACAAAACTTAATAAGTTCTTGAAATGTAGAGCACACATTTCAGTCAACTACTGTACACACTACATAATAAATTGCATGGAAGAAAATCTAGTTTATACTTACTTGTCTACACCGTTTTATTGACTTTTATTTCTTATTCCACCACATCCCGCTCCATTTTCCTTGGCGCCGGAGTTAAGCTTCGATGTTCAATGCATTTGACAGCAATATTTACTTGAGGCGGATCTTTACCGCTATCGTGAACTCCGCTTCCTTTGATAAAGTCCCTGCAAATGCGAACTTGCTTAGCTGGTTGGAAAACTTCTTACCGTAATTGATTTACCTGAAAAATAGCAAGAAGCGACTGTAACATTGTTTTATTTTTTATAGGTCAATCTTCCTTTATTTTGGAAGTGGTGTTCACGATACAATGTTTTGTATATCTGCAGTTTGAATTGCATCCAATGATCATCATGATCAATCAATCGATATTCGTCTTGTAAGAATTACTCCCGAGATTATCCATGTTCCATAAAGCTATGGTCTATTTAACTGACTCGCAACAAATACTTGGGTTACACTGTGTAACTTAACTTACACATACAAATCTAAGCAAAGGAATAAAAAGATTTACGAATCAATTTAAGCTTGCAGTCCATATCCAATTGATTACTTTTTAAATTCAAAATAAACCATATTCGACCATAATATCTACGCTAAATACTTGGCATAAAGTGCTTGCAAAATGCTACCAAAATATTTATGTACACACTAATGGATAACAACAACAAATAAATCCTTCAGTGGCAAAGAAAAAAATACCTACTTACAAAAAGACGAAATACAAATAATGATCTTGTTATTGCCAATAAAAGGTATCTCAGTCATAATAATAACTGAAGAAATAGATTCGGGGGAGAAACCTATTCAAGAATATTCTGCAAACCAAGTTATTCGGTTTCCAATTCAGATGGGGTGAAAATGATTACAAAGCCCTTCAAATAGCACTTTATCGTTATCGAATTCTGATTACCTACCCATTATGGTTGTTTTAAATTCTGATAATATGCCGCTTCTTTATTGAATAAAATCATTTGTTTTATTCTTTCCATTACGAATTACATATTACGGACTATGCAGTAGCATTAATACTATTTTGTTTGATAACGAACAATATTAACATCGTTGAGGATAAAGTGCTTCGTATTACGAAATGTACCGATATAATCTATAAATGTAGGCATATATAATCAATTCGTGTTTTAATAAATAAAATAGTACATTGATCCTCGGAACAAGGCACTACAATAAGATTTGTTTACCTACGTTTTTATTAAATTTTATAAGTAAGGTTGCAGATCGTAGTAGAGTCGTGGTAACCTATATTTTGGCCTGTAATTAAAACATAGGTAACTAAGAAAAAAAAAACTCGTTTTAACAAATAAAAGAATCTTATTGCCGTTCTGATTTTACTGTTAAATGTATTACCCACTTCAGAAGCTCGTTACAAGATGTGCCAAGTGCCCCAAGTGGCGAAAATCGCGATGTCGGTGGAGAGCGGCGCC